GTGCGTGATAAGGTAGAGTCAGTGAAAAATAGCAAGACCCTCAGCAAGATGTATTGACAAAGTGACTGCAACAGTGAGTTCAAGGTCGGTGATGGTCATGGGGAGGACACTGGGCCAAGCAGCATTCCATTCTGTGTGTGTAATAACATTGCCAGAACACTTAACAATCACGTTTATCCAGTTCTCTTTTACCTAATTTAATTGTGTAAGTGCAGGTTTGTGTGCAGTAGTCTTGAAGTCACACCTATAAAGCAGTGAAACAGTGAGGAATACAGCAACATTGAGTACTGGTTAGTGCAGCCCTTTCAAACTGCCTTTCCTGACTGTTGACCATGTGTGGGGTGACCAGTGAAACAAATGCATCTAAGAGTGATCTTTTGAATGATGGTAGGGCAGCAGGCATAAACGGTGGCCATCTTGGGGAAACTTGGCAATGTGGTCATCTTCCCCTGTTTTTATTTGTGCTTTTAACCACTCTGATGACTTAGCAAATAAGGTATTGTGCTGCCAACCCAAAGGCAAGCAGTTCAAACCCACCAGCTGCTCCAAAGGAGAAAGATGGACAGTCTCCTCCCATGCAATTTAGAGCCTCTGAAAACCTGCTGGGGGGTCAGCTCTGAGGCGGCTGTGACTCAGAGGCACAGAACAGCAATAGCCATTTGTGGTGGTCTCCACGTGTTAAAATTTAAGTCTCAGAAACCGAATGGAGGGTCACTGTGAGTCAGACAGAATCTACTCAGCAGTAATGGGATCGGTCTTATAAGATTGCCAGAGGAACCCTGGGGGCGTAGTTACGCACGTGGCTTCTAAGGTAATGTGAACCCACAGCCACCCAACAGGAGAAAGATGTGGCTATCTGTTTATGAAGATTACATCCTTGGGAGCCTTTATGGGTAATCCTACCCCATCCTATAGTCCTATAGTCATTCAATGAGTCAAAATCAACTCTCCAGCAACAGGTGCAGGTTATCACTGCCACATGTTTAGATTTTTTAAAGAGGAACCAGAAGTTTGGAGGTTAAAATCCTCTGATTTTAAATGGCTTCTGGTTTCTAAAAACACTATGTGGGCAAGCCTTCAGTGCCATCTGAAAACTCAGCTTTGGCATGCGTAACTACAGCTGTAGACGTCACACTTCTTGTAAACAGCTCTGCACACCCCCAAGGTGCTCTACAGTTCTTTATCGGTTATGTTACCGATAACTTTTTTTTAAAATATCTTAAAATGGTACTGCAGCTGTAGAAACTAATTTGGTAAGTCCTCAGAAAGTCCAACAGAGAACTGCTATATGGCCCAGAAATCCCGGTTCTAGATAGATACCCGGAAGAAATGAAGCAGGCTAGAACGTCAGAAACCGAGGAAACCTGGACACCAGTGCCTGCTGGCGCACTTTAACAGTAGCCCAGAGTGGAAACACAGAAATGTCCAACCATAGATAGGTGGATACACAACATAGGGTACATACCTGCATGAGTAACAAAGAGAAGTGATGCTTTGATACGTACCACAGCATAGGTGAACCTTGAAAACACTGTGCTGGGTCAGATAGATTAGTTGTAAAAGAGCAAATATTGACGAGCTCTGGTGGCCTAGTGGCAAGGAGCTGCACTGCAATCCCGCAGGTGTGCAGTTCAAATCCACCAGATGCTCTGCTGAAGAAGGAAGAACAATCTCCTCCTGTACCAGTCAGATCTGATTTGATGGTACACATAAAAATAAATAAATAAATAAAAATTAAAAAATAAATTAAAAACTGTTTTTAAAAAAGAGCAAATATTGTGTGATCTCACTTTAACTTAAGCAAATATATAGAAACAAAGGTTATTAACAGCTAGCAGGAAAGGAGGAGTTTTTGTTTAGGAGGCATCAAGATTATGTGAGTGGTGTAGCACATTTTGGAAGAGGATGGTGATAATGGTGGGGTAACATGAACCATGTAAACCATGTTATGTTGAATTGGAAACGTGGGCATCGTGCTGGTGATAGTTTTGGTGTGTGTATTTCCCCCACAGTCTAAAAAGTAGCTGAAGCGGTAACATTCATTATTGCTCACAGATCTGTAGGAGTACATGAGTAGTCCTTTTGATCTTGCTGGACTAAACAGGTATCTGTGATCAGCTCTCTTTGGGTGCTGATCAGCTCTCTGTGCTGATCTCGGCTGGGGTCTCTCATATGTGGGAGTTTGGTTGGCACTCTGATGGTTCACAGTGGTCTTGAATGGAGCATCTGGGCTTCCCTCTGCAGGGTTGCTAATCCTTCACCAGGGCAAGGCTTGTTCAAGTGGTGGTGACTGACGAGTAGAACAAGCAATTGAAACAATGGTTCTTGAGGCCTAAACTTGGGCGTGGTACACCAGCACTTCCTTCACATTCTCTATTGGCTAACACAAGTTGTAATACCAGACAGAAGTACTCACTCAATCTCTTCCTGAAAGGAGTTGAAAAGCATCCTCATAAAGGTAGCAAATTGGGAGATTATTACCATCACCGTACCACAATTATAATATTTATTCTCATTTTTAAAAGTATGTGCTTTGGTTAAAGGACAGATTAAGATATCTCTCTCTCTCTCTTTTTTTTCTCCTTCAGATAAACGAATCCAGCAATACATGAAAAGCCTCCTTTGTCTCCCAACCCCTCCAAAAAGCTTGCCTCCCATTCCTGGAGGCCTTGCTGTCATTCAGCAGGAGCTGGAAGTACTGGGCTCTCAATATGCAAACATTGTGAATCTCAACAAACAAGTGTATGGACCATTCTATGCAAATATCCTTCGGAAGCTGCTCTTCATTGAGGAAGCCATGGGAAAGACAGAAGCCTCTTCTCCCCCAAACTAAAGAAAAAATGGACATTGCACCGGAGATCAGAAATCTAGCCCCTGGGACCCGGGCCTTTTCCATCCAGGGCATTACAGAAGTGGCTCCTTCTTAGTACTGCCCGTGGGGCAGTGTTAGCCCGAATCTGTGTAATCCAATATTAGCATCATAGAACTCATGCGCATTAGACAGAAACTATTTGTGCATCATTTTCCAGTTCAAAAGAGTAATTTTTAATGAAGTTAAGGCAATTTATGATTAATTATATTACTTGCACAATACTTGTAAAAATGTTTTCCTGAGCACTTATATCCTTCAACCCTGAAGAATTTGTATATTCCCTGACTTACAAATATAGTGATTTTTCATTGGGGTACAACTTCTTAAAGGATTGAATGTTGGAAGAATAACCAAGGGTATTGATGCTCTGAATTAATGGTGTGAAGTAGGCATCATTCTATTTGAAATGTATAATTACATTTTATTAACGTGATAGAAATTTACATAGTGTAAGTCCTCAGAGCCCAAAAATGTACCAAATCACATTTTGTAATACCAGTTGTCAGTATTTTCTTAGAAAATGTAAGTATATTGTAAGTTTCAAAGCTCTCTGCAAATTTCACATAAGACCTCCCTTGTTTTGTGAAAAACAGAAACAAAGGTTGGTTTCTCCTTGCAATTTAACCTGCTCTCTGAGAGAAACAATTTTTGCACAAATATTTTAGTGAATGTCTTTATATTTCTCAGGCCATTGATAAGGTTTATATACGATTTTAATATTTTTATGTAAGGCAAGACGGGCTTGAATTTGTTTACTTCTAAGAAGAGGCAGGAAAGTTGACAAAATGAGATGTCACAAGGAGACCCCTTTCACTGACGTTCTTATCCTAAAAAGAAAGAGTTAAAATTTTGATTTCTTAATCATATTATCTAATTGGTAAATAAGTGTTTTTAATACTGACAAAATCCTCACCTTGTCTTGAATATGATGCTCTTCTAAATGTCATGATTATTTGGACCCGAGTTGTTGGGCAGATTTTAGAGAAACCTAACTTAAAACGATAGTTTATTTTGAAGTGTTAAGGGAAACATTACAGTTTGGAGGTTCCAATCTGGAAAGTGCTTTCTTTGCATAAAATGCATTTTTGATTGTTTGGGTTTCTAAGGATTCATTGAGCCTTAATTGGGAGTGGCGAGGTAGGAAATCTACGAGCCCCCTTTTCTTACCACAACCTTCACCATTGTGGTGTAACTTAATTATTTTAAGAAGTTCTAGGAAGTGATTGTGTGACTAAATTGCCAATGTTTTTATTTTGGAGGAATCTGCCAAATTTTGAGAAGATTCTGAATGTTTATTCTTTTCCCTCACAATGACCAATATATTTAAAAAAAAATATCTATGCACTTGAGCAGTTGTGTAAGTAGAACTTTACTGACGAGCCCATCATTGGTCTTAGACCATTTTTCTCTTTCTTTATTTTTGTTCTATCCATATTCTCCTATGCTTAGAAACCATAAGGTGCTGAAGACTTTTGCTTTCCCTTAAGCTGAAGTAGTTTTTAACTGCACTCACTTGGGATGCAGGCCATGGGGAGGGTCTGACTGTAGAAAGGCAGTATGTAGTGTTATTTTTCTGTTTGTAGCTTACTAAAGTGGACTGTATACTTAACAGGAAGACCAGGTGGAGTACTTTTTTGCTATCATATTGGAATCCATCTGATATTCTTCCCCCCCCCCTTTTCCTGATATTTTTTAATATACTTGACTGCAGTGGCTAGCAGGAAAATAGTGTGCAAACATTTTTTAAAAAATGCCTTTAAAATGAAGGGCATTCTGCTGGCTGGTGGTTTTGTTTTGTTTTTAAGTGGCAAAATAAATTTCAATGTCTCAAGTCTGAATTTAGGAACTACATTTATTTAAAACTTTTAATCATACCCCTTAGCATGTTATTTAGGTTTCTACTTAAATGTTTACTACTACTTTTGAGCTTTTCTTAACATGGTCTTGTTTTGTAATGTAAATTTTGTTAAACTCCATATACACATTTTCATTCTTCTGTGGGCAAAACATGTTTTGTGTGCATTTATTAAATTTTAAAATACTAAAGATCATTTCAAGTTGACCAGTGTCTCTTTATTTTCTACATCATCTTTGGGTGATTCAGGGCTGCCAGAGTATACAGTCTTTATTGTAGATGCCCTAGACTGCTTTTTCCGAATACTTGGGTGACATGAACAGTCATCATTTAGCTACTTATTGAAAGGTTGGCAGTTCGCATCTACTCTCTGGTGTTTAGAGGCTCCCTAAAGATTCTTCTGCTCACTACCAGCTTAGAGACAGCATTCATTCATACATTTATGTTGTTAACCGGACTCAGAAAGAAAGCGAGGACACGAGAAAATGAATTCTGAAAAAGAGGAAGGTTTAGGCAGAGGTCCCCTCACAGCTTAGCACTGTGAAAAGGCCTCTTTTGTAATCCTCCTATTGTTTTAATTTTGTTTAAACCAATAATAAAAAAAAATATTCCTATCTTGTGAGACTGTATTTTTCCTTATATGTAAGTGTTGCCAACATAACAATGGGTACGCTTAATTCTTAAACCAAAAATCAGAATGGTTTCAACGTTGAGGCACTGTCCTCTATGGTGGGAGGCTGGGAGGAAACTTCTGTTTACACAGGGCACCCCCTGTCTCCTCCAGGGGGCTGGGCAGAGTTCTCTTTGCAGAGGGCATTCTGTCCTGCCTGGACTCTGATCTCAGCTGCAGCCAGGCTATCACTACGTGAGCTATCCACATTCCCCACTCTGTTGTTTAAGCATCACTTAGTCATCAAGGTAAATATAGCTTCTCTTTCTTTTTCCATTATTCTTTTTTTTCTTTGCATTCTCCATCCTTGACATAAAAACACAAAAATAAGAATTCTAAAACAAAACATGATTATAGAAGAACGTCCAAAAATTTTAACATGATCAAAGGGATTAAGATTAGAGTTTCCTTCCGTTATTTCTTCCAAGAAATCAGTATTACTAAAATTCTCAATTGTTCTTTAAAAGTATCATGAATTTGAGCTTGTAACTTTAATATTGGTTAAATTACCATGATTCATGATATGTTTGTGAACTTTATCCCGTTGCCATTCAGTATTATTCCATACAACAGGGGCTCACACAAAATTGAGTCTAGTCACATTTTAACTTCAATTGTCTCTGTAAGTTAGTGATATGATCACCTATCAATAACTACTGAGTGTTCTAAATCAGTTAATAGAAAATTGATTTCAGAATGTCTTTGAGGTGACCACAATTTTTCAGAATCACTGTGCCGTTGTTTGACATAATCTACTGTTTGAACACTTAGATGCAGAGCAACTCCCGCAGTAGCTGCTGTAGCCGTTACAGCGATGATCCCTAAAACAGCAGTAATTAATGATCCAGTAGACCTCTTGCTTCTTTTTAATAACGGATTCACTAGATGCTCCAAAAGCTTCATCTCAGGAGATGACTACCATTTACGACCCAAATGAACAGGA